CGAGAGATTCCGATTGTAAACCTATCACTATTTCGGAGTACGGTAGATGAGAATGAATAAAAATGCAGAAGAACACAAAATTGAAATGAGCAATGCTCATTTGGTGTGCAAAAACCACTATACAAGAATGCAGAAAAGTTCCGAAACGTCGTGGTTCTGAAACGTCGTGGTTCTGAAACGTCGGGTTCTGAAACGTCCAGGAGCCAAAACTGAATTTCCTAATGATTTCCTAATGAAATTTTCGATTTTGGAAATTTTAAATTTTGGAGATTTTGGAATTTTTTTGAAATTAAAAAAAATCGTTGTTTAATATATTTGTCATCTAGATCTGGTCCCCCGTAATATGAGCAATCTATATCAATTACCCCACGGGGAGAGAGTCAAGAGACGCAGGAAAAATAAAGGGAATTATGAATGTTATTGGATATTTAAAGCGGCATATGTATTTTTGGTTGCGATAGGATTGCCTTATGAGATTATGAGATTTGGTTCCATTAAGCTAAGCCATAAGTGTCAATTTTAGCAATTTTCATAGATTTTCATTTTAAAAAATCTACATTTTCACCATTTCAACAACATTTTCAAACTTTTTAACTCTATTTTTCAAATTTCCCGACCTCAAAAACCCCAGAAAAAAACTTTTAGAGAAGAAGTTGACCCGGTGGGGTTCGAACCCGAGACCCTTAGAGCCAAATTTCTGCATCGAAAATCCCACTAGGCCATATGAGCAATTTTTCGAAAAATTGCTAAAATATGGGTTTGCGATGGTTTTGTAAAGAACGTAAAAATTTACATTACCTGGTCTAAAATTCAAAATTCTAGAGACATATGGATCCCCGGAAACTCTAACAGAGTTTGACTTCTTCTAATAATCAACGTAGTGATTTTCCGTTTAGTCAATTTTCCAATTTTTAGTATGTCTTTTATATGTGTGTATTTGAGTACGAGTATGATTATGAGTGTGTGTGTGCCGATTTTTTCTGTTATCAGTGAAAAGAAAAATTTTCATTTTGTTGCCATTAGGTGTGTATGGGCATAACCTCCACGCTGTCCGTTTTAGTTTTATCATTTTTTTTGTGTTTTTACATGAAAAGGATTTTTTGAATTTTCTGAATTTTCTAAATTTTCTGAATTGTCCAGAATTTCTGAATTTCGGGAGTTTCTGAACTTCTGAATTTTTGAATTTCTGAATTTCTGAATTTCTGAATTTCTGAATTTCTGAATTTCTGAATTTCTGAATTTCTGAATTTCTGAATTTCTGAATTTCTGAATTTCTGAATTTTTGAATTTCTGAATTTCTGAATTTCTGAATTTC